TGTATGCATCATTAATGGCAAGGTCATATTAGGTTGTTTTAAGTTAGCTTGTTTTTAGACAAAGATATTACGTTTGTTGTATCATCGGCAGTCCGTTGGTAGTAAATAAATTTTTGTTTACAAAAGAAGAAAAAGTTATTACACATTACCAGTAAACACTCATAAATACATTTAAATTGTATTTCTGTATTGTCCAGTTTAATGTAATGTGTAACTAGCTAGGGAACATATGTGTATCATCCTATGTACGCCACATTAAATTATTTATCAGCTATGTGTACGTGCACTATATGCATGTAACTTAATGAACTAATTGCCATTATTTTTTTAATCTTTGAATACTTGAGGATAACATGTTGTGATTCAAAGCAACTTCTTCAGCTATAATGTGTGATTATATATTCATTTAAAATTTTTTGTATAAATTAAGTTAGTTAAATTAAAGATATATAATCAACATTTTTAACAACATTGTTAATTAATAAATAAAAATATATTTAATGAAAAGAGAAGTGAAGATATAGTAAATTGATAAAAACTACACGTAAATCATATATATCAAACAACAAACATCACCTTTTTTTATTATATGGAAGCAATGTTGTTAAAAATGTTGAGTATATATCTTTAATTTAACTATTTAACTAACTTAAATTATATATAAAATTTTAAATGGATATAAGATATTTTATTTATTTTATAAAGTAAATCTAAAATTACATATGTCTTAATCTATATCATGTAATTTTGTTTGGCCTTATAAGATACTATATAAATTAAAATAATTTTAAGGTAATTGATTTTACAACATTTTAAATTAATTTTTACATGAAAGATACTATTAATATCTTATCTGAAACATAATTAAGATACAACATAAGAAAATCAAAAGACTACAATTAACAAGACACACAAGGGCATGATGAGATAAGCGTACATAGACGTTGTTTTATTTTAATTATGCTAAACCATACTCTTCATCCAAACGATGATATGAGTTCATTCCCACTTCACTTGATGCTACAACAGTACAAAGAATCAAGACTATGAGTTTGGCATTAGATACAATTCTAATCTAAAAACGAATCATGGTGTTTAGATCGAGTAACTAGCACCCAAAAAAAAAAAAACACTTACTTTTTGCAGTTAGTGGTCATGGAGATGGGATAGGGAATGCTAACACCACATTTTTTAGGAAGGTCAGAGGCTAGACTTGGGTTTAGACCAGAAATACTCTTGGCAACGGATTGTATGCATTGGCACGCTTGTTGGCGATCTGGTATGGTTTGAGCCAAACTGGTCAACTTTTTAACTCCTTCACAACATGGAGCTGGTACTGCCCCACCTTTCGATAGGTAGTTGGCACATGGAGTCAAGATACTTGCCACTGTGTCACATTTGATTGCTGCATCTACAGATGCAATTATGCACACCATCAAAACGACGCATGTGAAGAACCTGAGAGCCAAAGCCATTTTGTTTGCTTTTTTTTTTAGTGATTACAAAATTGGAGATTTAGTTCAGTTTTGTTTTCTAATCTTGTGGTTTGTTGTTGGATGTGAGAAAAGTGAGACGTGATGGTTGGTTTAAATAGGGATTTGAGATGGGGAAAATGATGAATAAGGTTTGATAGAGCACTTCCATCGCTAACATTTTTAGGAGTCTCTCACTATTAAAAAATGAAAAAATAGTAAAAGAGGAGAGAGAATGATAGTTTGTCTCTCGTTTGAGTGACTATAAAAAAATGATGAGAGACTCTTGGTCATTTTTTAGTTTGTAAAAGGTTTAAATTG